GTGTTTTAGGGACGGTGGTGTCATGCACCAGCCTGGCTTTCTTCACCATGAGAACAAACCTGTTCCAGAAGATATTTCTCTTTGTTCATCCACTCTAAGAGTAGCCTCATGCAAAGGATGATTTTTATAACTAAAATGGCTCTTGGCATTTTTGGGATCAGACTGAGAGTATTGTTGTCACCCCTAAAAGCCAGTGTTGATAGTCTGACTTCTCTCTGTACTTCTGAACGGGTCCTAGCTGTGTCCAGACTGGCCTCATGGCCACCATCTGCAGAAGGTAGTTACCTCCATTGGTGACCAGGCTGAGGGCAGGAGGGCAGTGTGTCTTTTGTTAGGTTTTTTTCTTAAAGTTTATTTCTAACCTGTGAAATAACAAGTCCACAGGACTTGGAAAAAACAAACAAACAGTACTCATAGCTCTTTATTGGATCAGGGCCTTGGGAGTCAATTCCGTTTAGCTGTCCATGGGCGTTTGGCAACGTGCTCAGCTCTTTCAGTGTCTTTAGTTTTGCTTGTAGCTGATGCTTCTGTTTAGTTAACAAAGATGGATGTGCTTATTAATTTAGATAGATTTTTGTAATCTAGTTTAACTTTGCTTTTCTCAAATTCTGTGAATTCAAGAATGAAAGTGAAAGAGAGTTCATAAGATATGTTCGGTTCTCTTGTTAGCGCTAATGCTTTAGTGCTTGAGGAAATTATTTTCTCTCATGTTGGAGGAGTAAGGGAAGATTATGGTTAGAGGTTGATTCCACATGTGGTTAAAATAATCTACAATTTCTCAATTTTTTGATATGATTTCATTCATAATGTTTGCAATGGGGAAGTACAAGGGTGCTTTTATTTGCTTCTGTTTAGCAGCTGTACAGAATAGAATTTAAAACAGAAGTAGCTGCGGTGCTGTTGCTGTGAGCTGGCCCATAAACCTGAATTGGTCCCTTTTATACAGCGCTTGTGTTTGGAAAGTGACAGTCAAATGGCATTTGGTTCATAATTCTTGCTCTAGACAAATTATAACAAGTGGAGAATGTAAATGCAAAATGGTATTTAAAAAAAAATAAATTTAAAATTCCTGGTACTGTGCATCAAGTTTAGATAGAGGATTCATTCCCATTCGCTCAGCAGGGAAGGCAAATGGACATAACAAATATATAATAATTTTCTAGACTTAAGTTTACAACTTTGCATGTTGTAACAGGCATGTTACATGTTGTTTAAACTTTGCGCAGAAAGAAAATTTGGAAATTCAAACTATATTTGAAAGGAAAATAATTCATATTTTACAGGGCTGGTGGGGAGAGGGAGAATATTGCTCTCGGTCTATTTCAGGTTTGGAAACTGACTCGAAGCAGAATTGTTTGTGCATTGTTTGTTTATTTTTAGTAGTGTTCAGAAGAATATATAATGCTAAAATCTAAGAACAGCCTGAAAGACAAACCTTTCAGAAGGTTGTAGGGTTTTGTTTGGTGTCCCAGTCTCTTCTCTTTATCCTTCCCCTCCAGATTCTATTCTTACCAAGTCAAAATGCATTACCTTTGCATGGAAGTGCTCACAGCAGTTGCAGAGCATTTGGACCATGGGGACTCTTGACACACTGAAGCTCATAGTTAAATTTTCTCTTAATGAGTTGTCTATGGACTTTAGATGGACGGACTAGCTACATTTACTGTAAATGCTTCTGCTGATCTTGGCAAAGGTTAATAAAAGTGAATAAATACTGAAATATGTGTCCTGCATCATTAAGGAGTTTGTAAAGATCTAAGTCCCAATTCTGGAAGCCTTTAGATTGTTGCTTAGGTTGGCCTGCCTGAGGGTTGGTCCTGTGCAAGTATTTGAAAAGCCTAAACTTTTTCTTTCTAATTGGAAAAAAGAGGAGTGTCTAGAAAACTAAATGTTTATTCAAGCTTCCTTAAGATTTATTGTTTATAAAATAGGTCAGCAACCAAGAGGAAACCCTTGCATATCAAGAGTGTCTAGTAAGAGTCAGAGATGTGTTTGGACTTCAGACCATACTACTTGCATAAGCAAAGTGCTTGTGGGAATGTGTTCTGAAGCATCTGCTTAAAGATGTAACTTTGGTTTTACTGTCTAGCATAGCAGAGAATAGGGTTTGCATCAGTTTAGCGATGCTATTTCTTATTTGTCACTTGGAGTATTTAGGTCAGAGAGAACTTCATGGTTATGCCATTTCTGCTCAACAGGAAAAAAAAAATGCTGGGTTTGGATCCTTTTGCCTTCCATTTTAATTCTGAAGATGCATTAATTATATGTGTAAATAAAGGTCACTGAATTTTGTTTGAGTGCTAAAGCATAAGCAAATCTTCTTCATTGGGGAATTATAATCATTGTAACAATAAATTGGTATATTCATATGACATTGTTCAGATGAACTCACGTAACGTGTCAGTAAGCTGGGCTTAGGGCAGGGATGTTTTTTCTTGTGGTTTGGCCATTTTATTGAGAAGAATAGAGTGAGTTCTAAAGTCAAACTGACCAATTTGAGATAAAGTATTAGAGAATGCTGTTAACTCAGCAGTTTGAGTTGATAATATGCGAGAGCCTTAACTTCAAACGAGACTAAAATCCTATGGCATGAGTGGCAGGGGTGAAATTACGGTTTGCTGAATCCCCACCAGATTTTTAGGTTGAATGTTACTACATATGTTACTGCCTACTGTAAACCATATTCCTTGATGGGCCAGTTTCCTCAAGCTTGAAGCACTGGAGCAAGTCTCTCTTACTGGAGACCTGTGTGTGCATGCTGTTCGGCGAGGTGGCAGTGAAATTATAGTTGAAGATACCAGTGGTGCAAAGACAAGCTCTAGAAACTGTCTGTTGGGTATATGTGTATTTGTTTGAAAGGAACATGTGCTGTCTGCATGAGAATTCATCTTGTGTATCTGTTTGTAGCGCTTCAGTCTGCGTGGGTTTTGGGTATAGGCTGAGTTGATAAGACTAGGAAAAAACACACTGAGAGTTCGGTCTCAACTAGCTTTCAAATGGAACTGTAGGAGGAAGATTTTTGAGGAGCCCAACAGCTATTTTAACTGAAACTCATCTCTTGAGTTGTGAGTTTGACTGATACTTCCCTTAAAACCTGTGTGTGATATTGGCATAATTACATGTGAAGATCCTTTTTATTGCTCTTGACTAGGTTTTGAAGTGGATTAACGTAAAATTCTGTAGTAAAAGTAATTATATCTTCTATGGGGAGCAACAGGTATTTTATTTCACTTTTTAAGATGTTCATGAGTATTTTTTTGTTTATCATTGTTATCAGCAAATAAGGTAAGTTGCAAGTAAGAGGTCAGGCCTGATCAGGAGGTACTTAAGCCATTGAATGTAGTAAAGTATTTATTAAACTTACTCTGCGAGGCCTCTAAAGTAGTCTGTTTCTAGAAAGTTTTGAGTTAGTCTTCCATGGAAAGGAGATTGAGGTTATTCTAGAAGGTTCTTTTTTAGCATTTTGGAGAGTTAACTTTGTGATTTAGAAATTAGGGCAATCTGGTGTAAATATTTTTGACATTGTATAGTTTTCCTTCTAAATGCACAGAATAATTCTTGTATTCTTCTGTGTGATACAGGTGATACTGGCCAAGGAGCAAGAACATGGATAAAACAAATTTTGAATCAAGACATGGCTTTCCAACATATAAAAGTAATTTACCCAACGGCTCCTGCCAGGTATTGTTTGATGCGTTTTAACTGTAGAATTAAATTACTCTGTTCCAGTACTGTAAAATATGCTTGTGAATATTGGTACAGACTGTCATAACACTTCCTTCTTCTTTCTCATGTATATGCTTTTTGGCAAAACTGGAGCTCAACAGTGCATTGCTGCCCAGGGACTGTGATTTTAAGTGGTTAAAACTCCAAATGGCTAAGACTTCATAGAAATCACAGTCTCTAATTCACATTCAGGTATTGTCCTCATAGTATCTTTCCATCTCCTTGATATACATAGAGGAAGATACTCCAGTGTGTGTTGTAATAGCGTTATAGATCCATGTTTTGAATCACAGTTCTACCAATATTAACTCCCATAAATTAACCACTAAAATACTCTGTTGTATTTAATGCCAGGTTTCAGTTCTGAAGGTAATTGGTCTTTTTGGCAAATAGAATGTGAAAGATCTTCAGCTGTTGGAGAAAGAACTGGGAGTTCAAAATTACACATTTCTTCTGGTTTCAATCCTGACCCAGCTGTTTCTAGGAGAATTGAGTTCATCATTCACTGTAAGGCACAAATCTCATTATTTAAATGACACTGTGCGTTCAGTTGTAGATGGGAAATAGAGATACAAATATTTACTCCTGTAAATCTGAGAAGTTAATGAGTTAAGGCTAAAAGTTGGGACACCTACCTCCATATTTAACTGTCTAAAGATATGACCTTCTATTTCAGAGGTGTTTAAATTTTCTTAATATAAATTCATTTTCAAGGTGTCTGTGGCTCTAAGTTAGGAAAATGTTTCCTCGAAAGGTAATGAGGCTTATTTCTTTCTGAATAAGTGTGAATGAATGCTGAAAAGAAAAGGAAATTGTGGCATTCTGAACAAACTTACGAGGTGCAGTGGTTTGAAAGTCAGAAAAAAAAAATCTCAGAGAGCATAAAGAAGTATAATAGCAGATTTTGTCTGGCATGCACTAATATGTGAAAAAAAATTCCTTGACCATGTATTTTTTATGATCTACTTAAGCAGGAAAAGCAATTGAGAGGTTGCAGTGTGAATGTACTCACTGTGTTACAGAAAAATCAGACCCATGAGTGGAAGTCTTTGAAGCAGTGTGTTTTGGGTTTGTGGGTAGTGAATATGATTTTCTGTAAATAATATGCTCATTACTTCATTGATGACAGGCTAAAGTGATGTCTAGAGTTATCAGTGGCACGTCACACGTACTGACAGGATCCAGTTCTTCCCTATCAACACAGCAGGTACTGGAGAAATGTAGGAGTTTTTGCTTACCTGTGAAATGATCTTTCTTCACGTTACATGCAGCCAGAGCACCTCAGACCACATGTTAGGCTAGTGCCTCACTTTTTCATCCCACTGTGCTTCTAGGGTCCCATCCTTTTCACGTTTCTTTTCATTTCTTTGGATAACTACAGACATAAACTATGTATAAATGATTAACCAACAAGATCTCCTGACTCAAATGAGTGGCATTTATGGGGAATTTGTTGTTACCTTAAGACTTTGGATCTCAGTACTTTGGTAAACAGATGGGAAGAAAAATACTGTTGTCATTAAAAAATGTGAATAAACAGTTAACTCCACTTTCTTTTTCTTCTTTAAGTTGTTCTCTAGAGCACGTAGAGGTCATGCAGGAGCTGATTCAGAAGTGGTTTTTAGCAAAACTGTGAAAAGTTGTGTATTCAAAGAATAAAAAACCCACACTGTTTGTCTTTGACTGGCAATATGAAGCACACTTGGGAATATTAGTGTCCAGCCATCTACTGCTGATAAGCGCCCTTAGCTGACATAGTGAAATAAAACAGATGCCCTTAAGCACAATAGTGTTTGCCACTGTTTGCAGCAATACTGAAGTGAATTTGTGAAGATATGTTTTATTGGTTGAAACTGAAGTAACAGAAGCCTTTACAGACCCATTTCATGTTGTTTTGGTATTCAAGTCCAAAATGCACTGTGCTTTTTGAAACATTTGCAATAGCTGCTCTCCTTTCTTCCACAGTCAGGAAAAACAAGGCCTAGAACATCCAAACTTGAATGGCAAGTATTAAAGTAATTATATCTGCATTAGGAACTTAAATATATGATCTGATTTTGTGTGTGTGTGTGTATGTATGTAAGTTTTGATAAGAGTTACAAATGCTTTTGGCTCCAAAGGAGGAATTCAGCATCCTTGATAATGAGACCTATAGGTAGACAGTTACAGGTGGGTAGATATGCTGAAGAAGGTTCTGATCCACGCTTTGATCATGTAGAGACAGTGATACGATGGTGGAAAGCTAGGCTGATGTGGGTGGCACAACCTGCCACTGCATTGTCAATTACAGGAGCAGAGTGCAAAGCTTGCCAGCAGGTTTTTACGCTGATGATGAAATCAAAAAAGCTTGAGGTTAGGCAAGACCATACTAGGGTTGCTTGGCTAATATGCTGTTCTGGCAAAATACTGTTGATGTGGATGTCGTTCATAACCTATAAACTCCTGTCTTTTCCAGCAAAACTTACCACATACACACTGAATGCTCTCCATCAAAGTAGTTAAGCCAGGAAAAGCAGTTTTGATGATACAACTGCAATGCTAGAAGCTTTGGCAGGGTAAACTGCAGGTCAGGAATACCTCTTCACATTTTTGATGGATATAATTCTGCTGAAAGTTAGATCTATAGATTTGGCTTTATACATTCTTCAGCTCTATAAGAGTGAGTTCTGAAAAGTAGTGGAATTCACATTTTTCAACAAACATTGAATTTTTTTTTTTATGTGTGTGGAGGATGGACGGGGTTTATATTTACATTTTGTTTAAATTTTGTCCCAGGCGCTGAAACATACATCTTTTTTATTTACTACAACATCAGACATTCAGAGATGTTTTGCTTCAAAAGTCAATATGTTTGAAAATTGTTTTGGAAAACCAACCCAGCATATAAGCTAGAAGAATCCTAAAACATGTTCTCTGGCTTCATTAGCATGGATTTCGGCAAACACTAGAGAAGATACTTCCATTTTATGGGTGAAAGCAATAGTACATTACTGAACTACATTTTATAAAACTGTTTTTTACTATTCACTGTAGTTCTCTGTAAAAAGTTACACTTTCTAAGAAAGATTTACTTGAATCATTTTTATAATGTCATAGAGATAATAATATCATAGAGATATTGTAATATCAAAGATAATAATATCATAGAGAATGATCACCAGATATCCCCTGGACAGATAAAGTGTTCTTAGCATTTTCTCACACTCATCCCCCATCACTTTGGAAAGGTCTGTGAGTCTTGCATTTGTTTTTTCTCCTGAGTGAAAATAACAGAATGTGGGTAGTGACATTTGCTATTAAAAAAGAACGACTCACTGAATTTCTAAGTAAAATGCTTATTGTAAAAAGCATGCTTGGATAAAAAGGGAAAAATATGTAGATTTGAAGTCTCAGTGTGATGTAGTGAGAGTAGTGGCACCTGAATGTGGAGTATGCTTGGAAATTAAATGCATGTAGCTGAGGCATGCAAATTTTGCTTTACAAATGAAAATTTTTAGACATTGCTTAGAGAGGTTTTGTTTTTTCTCTGTAATGTAGGCAAGTAGGATACTTAAAAATGAGAACTTCTTTTGATAGATTGTTCTTTTGAATTTATCTAGCTTTCTTTCAAGATCAGGGTTTCTGTACATAGATTAATCTTGTTAAACACCACAGAATTCTATTTCCTCTCACTTGTAATGCTAATGTATATCTTCAATTAAAAAAAGAAGCTCAAATTGTAGCCCTAGCAGCTGATGCAATCCCTATAGCCACGTCTACACTAATAGTTTTAAAGGAAAGGGTTTCCTTTTTTTATTTGGGTCAGGATGGCTACAGCTTTAAATACTGTTTCAGCTGCTACAACTGTGACTTAAACATTAGGTTTCTATTGAGTTTCTAAATCAGAACTGAATACCACCCAATTTAACCTTTTTTTTTTTTTTTTAATAGAAAGTGATAGTTTAAATTGGCATTGCAGGAGCTAACGTGGTAAAGTTAAAACCATTTAGGCTTCACTTGTTTTAATAAGTATACCTTACCTTCTATAATTTCCTTAAAAAAAAATCTAGGTCAAAGATTCTTTGCGTTGTCTAGCATTCCATTCTGTCAGTCCTTCTCTTTTACAGATCAGAAAGTAAACTATAAGTACTTCTTGAGCTGTTTTGTGGATCTTTTTGACATTCACTCAACATACCTTTCTGTGACCAATAAGTCTCCGTGCAGAGTTCATTGTGTCCTTTTTTCTAATTTCTCTTGTCTCTAAGTATGTGGCTGGTAAGGACTGCTCAGCATTACGTGGCCTGCTACTCCATCCTTTCACCTGAGTTCACGTCTTTGCTCGGCTCATGGGTGGAAATGAGTTTCATCTCATTGTAGTCCCCATTTGGCTATATTGCAAAACCACCAGACGGTTTGGCAGGGTTCAGCTGCATTGGCAGCCTCTCCTTGCGAGAGGCCTAGGATTGGAAAAGCAGCAGGGGTACTGCAGGTCAGACTTGAGAAGGATTGGCGGAGCCATGTAGGGGAGCGTGCATGGTGCCTATCATACTATGTTTGGCTCAAGCAAATGTTATTAATCTTTCACTTTTGTAAGCCCTAACCTCATTCATAAATTTAACACAAAGAAGTATTTTTAGAGGTGCGAGTTTGAGGGACAAATGGAAAGAGTTTTGACCAGTGTCATGGGGTGGCTCTTTCATCTCTTTCTGTAAGTAGAAATTTAACATATTCTGTATAATAATGATGGAAGCATGCTTAGATAAACTTCACATTTTCCTTTTATTTCTCAAGTTGCATTAGGTGAGGAAAACATGGATATGCATAGATGCAATGCTTGCACTGTATACTAAATACCATGTGGAACGTAGTAAACACTTGTCAGGTATACTTTAGTCATGCTTCAGGAAAACAAAGTAGAATGTAATAGCAATAATCTTGGATTTCTAATTCCTTTAACCACATCACACTCTTAGATG